GGCTACTAGGAAGAAAATTAACTCTATCCCAGCCGAAACTAGGACATTCTCCCCCCCTTATTCCATACCATTTATGTCATGCTCAGGTTTCACACTGTCCAATACATTCTCATTACCCACCACCATCCTTCCGATCCTTTGATATAATACACAGATATCATTCCCTTAGTCTATGGACCACCCCTGTGAAATGTCTGTAAAATGTCCCGAAACCAGGACACATATTCAAATGAAGATCATATTTGTGTTTTCCTTTATGGCTTTTACATTCTGTTTTCTTGTAGTAACAAATGAGAGGGACTCTCCAGATTATCTGTCAGCAGTCACTTTGCAGTCTCTCTCAAAAGGCCTTTTGCAATTCCCTGATATTGAATCTTTATTTCCCTAACTTGAGCAGGTTAAACCTCCTGTGGAAGGTAATAATTTCGCAACCCTCCCTCCAAAGTCTCCTTCTCATGGTGGCACAGGCGACGAGGATAGTTTTGGTACCCGTAAAGCCAGATCTTCATTTGGACGAGGCTTTTTCAAGATAAAAAATAACAAGAGGACTGCGAGTGCCCCTAATCTGGGTAGGTATCATGCACCTGCATGCAGATTCTGTGTATTTTGAAGGGTTTTAACAACAGCTGTAACTGTCTTAAGAAGCAGGAAGGCCAGCCTTAATCTCACTGTGACTTCGTGGTACTTTTCTCAGTGGAATGTTTGGAAAATACCAAACAGCAACAAAAAAACTCAGAAAAAAACCTCACTGATGTAATTAAGTATTTGATCTGTTTCAACCTCTGCTGTGATATCTCCCCTGGGACCTTGTAGAGGATTGCTGCTGTTTTGAAATGCTAGCTGTCTGGCAGTAGTTCATACATGGGATTTGTGGGCTTTTTTTTCCCCTGGGTCCATCCTCAGTTTATCTTTCATAAGGCTTTCAGATGTACAGAAATGAGGCAGCAGCACTCAGTCTTCCTCTTTATTTTACGTGTATTTAAGCAGCCTCTAAAAAGAGATGGTGACAACAGGAACAGGACTGACAAGTTATTCAAGCTCATGTTGATTTTTGGACCTGTAATGGAGGGGGGGTTGTTTTGGTATTGCCATTTGATGACATGTGCACATGACAAAGAAATAAACAAAATGTTCTGCTTAATGCAGAAGTCACTGTTGCCACCAACTGAAATCCTACTTGCATTCACTGCTCTGCTATAGTAGTCTTTCCACTGTTCCAGTTCAAGCATCAAGTGAGTCTGAGTGCATCAGATCTACTGCCATTCATCTGAAGTTTTTGGCTTTCTCTTGCACAAGATTTAGGAATTTAACTCTATCTTTCAGAAGCCTGAAGGGGGATAGCTTCTGCTTTGTTGAGCAGAAGAGTCTCCTGTTCGTACTTAGTCAAAGACGATTTTAGACTTTTGTTCAAAAGAAATAACATACCTACACATTTATTATACATTGCCCATATTTGCCTGTGACATATAGCATGGGAACTTGCTAGCTTACTTGGAATAGATGTACAGTCTATTCTGAGGGTTAGACTCTTTGCTTTGGTTTATTTCATGTGTGCTTTTGTGTAATCACTTGTTTCATCCTGAAATTAATTTGTCTAACAAAGTGGAGTACTTGTGGCTGTCATAAAGGATTGGAAGATGGGCCATCTAGATCAGGGTCCTGTGAATTCGAGTAAGTTATTTCTGTTATCCAGATTTCAGTGCTTCCATCTGTAAAGCTGGTGTCCAGATACTTGCCACCTAATGGGAGCCCGCGTGAGTCACCTGCCCAGTGTGTCATGGAGCAAGTGACCCCCCTGCACCGAAGTGACTGCGGTGCTGTTTTACCCTCTCCACCATAGAGCTCTACTGCATTTCTTTTTTGTGAGAGGGGGATTAACAGTGAATTGGTAATCCTAATCTCTGTGTGAATTCAGCATTGTGTGTGGCGCATGTGTCTCATGTACCTCCCTCTTGTCTTGTATTTTGCTGACGTAAGTTTTGAACTGTGTTTTACCTTGTCCCTCTGCGTGTTCTCTCCCGTTGTGCTGCGTGTGGTTATGTGCGTTGTTTGGATATCTGAAGATCGCAGTCGAAGTGCAAGTGCACCTACTTTAGGTATAGTAATCCTGCATGTCTGCCTGTACCAGCGCTGTGTTGTGATTGCTGCTAACAGCTGGTTATGGCCACACAGTTTTCAAACAAGAACTAGACACCAGAGTTCTGCATCGAAACTTTTGTCCATCACTAAAAGGAGTTCTCATGTAACATCTGCCCTCTGCTAAAAGTCAGCTGCACCATTTCCCAGTAACTGCTACTAATGAGAGAGATTGCGGGTTAATTTGCAGAGACCTTTGCCGTAACTTTGAGCACAAAGTTACCCACAGACCAAGGTAGCAGGTGAGAATCGGTGATGTTTAAATACCAGAGGCACCTTTGTGCTGTCGTCTGTCCTGGAGCCCCTGGAAGAGCTTAAAGGGTGGCAAAGCAGGGAATGAGGAGGTATATTTCCTGGGTGTTCACTTAGGGGAGTTCTGGGGGGAAGGATACATAATTTCTCTTCTAAGATGTAGTCATATTTATTATATAATAAACGAATGAGAAATAATTGGGGCGGATGAGGATGGAGCCTTTCATGTAGTAAAAACCAGTCTTGTGATGTGAGCGTTCCCTGGGTGGTTCTGGCAAGGGCAGGTAAGACCTGCAGGGCCCTGCCTTAGCAAGCAGAGCTGTGTCAGTCGGGGTGGTTGTACAGCCACCCGGTGTGCCCCTCGCTGACGAAGAGACCAAGTGCTCTGGGCCCTCTTGGTTTCCCATGTGGCCCCTTAAATGTCGGCTCTACCGGGTTGCGTCAGTGCGTGAAAGGGAGCGAGGTACAAGGAGCAAACGTTGCAATACCCGCAAATCTCTGCTACTAACGCACCCAACCTTGTCCTGGTATTCTCTCTCTAGAATTCTGTTTAAATGTTGTTTTTTCTAAGCTAGCACTTTTTCTTATACAAGTAAAGCAAAAACCACAAATGCAAAAGCCTGGTTCAACGTTAGTGCTGTCTCTCACTGGCAGGATCCCCGTATTCAATAGCAGTCAAACCAAAGTGCCCAGAAATAATCTTTTATGTGACCTTGTTGCTTCACTGCAAGGTTTAACATCTGAAGCATCGGTGGAAAATGCGACATGTTCAAATGTATTCTGGCTGAATCATCTAAACTTTGCCCAGCAGAAAGATACACTGCTGAAGCCTGCAGTTTGTTGCTGTTCGTGGCACATTGTAGCCGCCTCAGCGTTAACTCTGTGGCCTGAGACCACGTCCCAGCAATATATGCTCTACCTTGATTCATGTAACTTGTTTGGTTTTTGCCTGGAAGTCTGAGAGTCCAGTTCAAAAACAAATGATGGTCACCTAATTACACAGCCACGTTAAAAGATGGTAAAAGTGGTTACAGGCCTGACTGTCAGCCTGCTGCAGGCTGCCTTGCCACGGCTGCTTCATCTGAACAGGCTCATGCTGTCACTGTTCCTCAGCAAGTAAGTGGCATAAACTCCACGTGGTGGTTTTATTCAGCTATCTGGCACTTGCTGGCACATCTCTGCTTATGTAGCCTAATAGATATTGCAATTCTTTTAGTTTTCTTTTTAAATGATCTTAAAATAGTTTTCTTCTTTGTTAGTTTAGCTTTCACTAAACAATCTTGTGACAACTTCCCTTTTGGGGACAAGAGCCCTCAGGTTTGTTGTCATAGAAAACAACAGCTACAGATCAAAGATCTAGTGCTTTTAGAGTGGGTGGTAATGTGTAGGGTCTCTCAGAGATGTTTTATGCATCCCTCGAAAGAGAAGATCTAGTTCAGACAGAGCCTAAACTCCCTGGTGTTTCTCTGCAGAGGAATAAAATACTCCACAATTTGCAGAAGTGAGGGGAAAAGGGCCCTCCTGCTCCTGGGGCAGGAGGAGTTGTTTGTTGCTGGGATTTCCTGGATGGGGAACTTATGGGCTACTGCAAGTTATTAGGAAAGATGCCTGCAGGGAAATTATTTATTTTTCTCTGCTTTGGGGACTCTTGGTTTGGTGCCCTGCCATGGCACTGAATTGTTCCTGGGTATCCACGTGCCTTGGCTCTGTCTGTGAAAGGACTGTAGGAGCACTCCCCAAGGAAGAGTAAACTTGGGATTTAATTGACTGATTGATTCGCAAGGTGTTTTTTGCCCACCTTGGATGCAAGGCACTTAACTGGTGCAGAGCATTGCCTTGGAGTGTTCCCAGTCAGGCCCATGAAGGAGGAATCCAGGAGTTTCTGCTGGATTTTCCGATCCCTCTTTGCCCCATTTTCTTAACATGATGGCTCTCAATAATTTTAGCAAGAGTCATTCCTGAGTTCAGGAGTGTGTCTGTACAGTCCTGCGCAAGTGAATCTTGACAGGGCTTTTGCTTTCTAATAGCTGAAACGGAGAAGGGATCTGCAGATCACTTGGATCTGGCTGGCTTGCCCCCTCGCCCAAAAGAAACGGATAGTCTACAGATGACTCCACCTTCTCCAGATTCCAAGAAAAAGGCCAGAGGGATCAAGAGGTTATTTGGAAAGTAAGTAAAAGATGAGAAATGACTTCTCCAGAGCTGGGGCTTGCACGTGCGTTTGCTGGGAACACATCTTCCCTTTTTCTCCCTCCAATCTGTGGCTCCGTGGTTTACTGTCTCAAGAGCAGGAGCCATTTGAGGCTTTTGAGGGAGCTAACAGCAGGTCAGTGGGGGGTGGAGGAAGAGCTACAAACCCCGCAGGAGATCTTACCTATATTGGTTGCAGTAGTAGAAGCATGCCTTTTCCTTAGCCAAATGTGAATATGCTTTCTTCCTTTAAACTAGACTCAAAAGAAGTCAGTCTACTACCTTCAACCCAGATGACATGTCCGAGACGGAGTTCAAAAGAGGAGGGACAAGAGCAACGGCGGGGCCACGACTGGGCTGGTCTCGAGACCTGGGGCAGTCTCACAAGTAAGACGAGTGGTGCAAAGTGTGCTGGTGCTTGCCTTCCCGGCAGCTCCAGTCGAGCACGGGGTCCAAAGGAGGAGCGCAGTGCCAAAATGAAATGTCCCCTCTCCTGGCAAATGGAAGCAGGCGGATCCAGGCCATTTCCTCCTTTGAGAGATGTTTTTTGCGGACTTGAGGTTCGTTGGGTGGTGGGGCCCTGCTGCGAGTGGAGCCCTCTTTGTCCACGGCTTTGCAGGAGTGCAGCTGTGAGGCCGTGCAAAGCGGGGTGTAAGCCCTCACGTGGCAATGGCAGATATTCCTCTGGTAAGTTTCTGGCTGCAGTTTTGGGGAGTAAAGGCTAAAGTAAAACATTATGGTCTTACTTCAGAGTTTTAGGCACTGTAGCAGCAGAGGTGGTTGTTCCAATGGTATTAATAGACTGTGTTTATCATGATAGTGACAGGAGATCAGCAGCGATCAGCGCTTCATGGTTCAGCACCGACAGTTCAGAAGTAGAGACACCCTCTGCCTCACGAGGCTCAGCTAACAGCCGACCGTGATGCACGTTCTCCCACCAAGATTGTCCCAACTCCCACAGAATACTCGAGAATTAGGCTTAGGTTTTGGTTTTATCGTTATGCATGAGAATAGGAGATTTGAGACGTGGGATTTATCGGTCTTTTTTCATAAAATCTTCTGTAGTGAGCTGGACATGCCATTCGCAAAGTGGACAAAGGAGCAGGTTTGCAACTGGCTCCAGGACCAAGGGCTAGGCTTTTACATTAGTAATGGCAAACACTGGATACTGTCTGGGCAAACGCTTCTGCAGGCTTCTCAGCAGGATCTGGAAAAGGTGAGAAATACTGGAAACACTCCTTTCAATTAAACGTACAAAAAATTGCTATTTCTGTGCATGTACATCATGTCTGTAAGGTGCATCCAGTAAAAAAAAAAATTGAAAAGATGAATTTTTAAAATTTTGTCATCTGCAGCAATGCCAAATCTGTTTCTTTTTAACTGAAGTTTTGTAGAAATATAATGCTCTGTAATGAAACTGATAATTACAAATATGTGATTTAACTTCATTAAGCATGGACATATCAGTTGGCTATGCCACTTTAAAAACATGCACACAAGAGTGCCTCGCTATCATGTGGGTTTGTAGATTGATTAGCACTTGTGTATGGTACACTGTGTGAGAAAGGGGTAAAAAGCTGCTGGTTTGGTCTGCCTATATTTTCTGCACATTTTACACAAGAATGAAGATTTGTTACACACAAGGGTGATCAGTTTCTTTGTCTTAAATCGTTATAGAATTGCTTACCTCTTGTTTTCTAGAACTAGAAACATTAAAAAAGTTGATTCAATCTATACTTTGAATCCACAGTATTTGCTAACATTTGAATTTTCAGCTTTTAAAAATCACTATCCTCACCAAATAGTGAGCCTGTTTTCTCAACGAGGGAGTGAGCTTGTTCAAAGTTGCAGTTATACTACAACCAGAATAAGAAAACCATGATACAGACAAGAGTGGCTTGTAATAATTTTATCAGAGGTAACATTAACTAGCAAGCACTGGTGAAAGTGTATATGGGATTGAAGAGATCCTGGAATGGCTGCACTTGCAGCTAAACTGGGGAAGGTGTTATGCATTTGGAAGTATTAATAAATTTCAGTAATTCCCGGGACCTTCATGTGCTCTTAACTAAATAATTCTTTTAACCTTACCTGCCCAAGTGGGAGGGAAGGAAATAATCCCATCAAGTATTTTTTTGAATGCTAACATGTTTTATATTGTGGGGTTTTTTTAGCCTGGTATGAGAATATTATGGCTGACATTTTCATACAGTTTGGAGTCCACCACGTTTTGAAATTACTCCACCACAGTGAGTGGACCTTTCTCTAGTGCTCAACATGTGCTAAAATGATGCTGATATTCAGCAAATAGAAAATACACCTGCCAAGTCACCAGCAAGTGCTGTGTACAGTGTGACTATCTGAAACCATTTGTAATTCAGCAGGGGGAGAAATAAAATACAGGATTGTCTCTAGGTTTGCTGCTTTCCTTCCTTTCACAGGAGCTTGGGATAAAGCACCCATTGCATCGGAAGAAGCTTCAGCTTGCTCTGCAGGCACTTGGGTCTGAAGAGGAAAACAATCATGGAAAACTGGATTACCACTGGGTTACCAGTAAGATTTTATTATATGCTGAAGCAGCAACTTTTGATAGGCGTTCCTAATCATGGCTAATTTGGGGCTCAAAGAGTGAGAATAACCCTTAACTGGTGCTAGGTAACTTGGCTACCACGCTAACATGAGTGTCTGTCTCTGCCTTAGGGTGGCTGGATGACATTGGCCTCCCCCAGTATAAGACCCAGTTTGATGAAGGAAAGGTGGATGGCCGAATGCTCCATTACATGAGCGTGGTGAGTAAATGGCATTTCTTTTCCTGGCGTCTTGTTTGTGTTCTTAGCTTCCAGGACAGTTTCTTCCCACTTTAATGCACGGGGGCATACCTCCACATAGCTCACTAAAGACCAGGTGAGACTAGGGAGACCTGCTTTCACTGTGCCTATTGTTGCAACTGCATAGATACTATATTCACTTAACATCCTCCTCTCTCTCCATCCCAGCCTCCATCTTCCTCCTGCTCCCTTTGGGTCAATTTACCAGTGGCAGCAACCTTTTTTGCACCCCACAGCACCAGGATCCGTGCCCTACCACACAACTCTGCAAGCAGCCTTCTCCCCTTTCCACATCCACCTCCTCTCAGCCTCCCCCAAGCCTTCCCCAGCGGCAGCCCCTGCCCCACACACACCCTCCTGACCCTGCTATAAGAGGGAAGGGGGGAGTCCAGGCAGCAGCTGGCCCTGAGAGACAGCCGGCTGTGACTGGAGAGGAGGCGCTGCCACCAGCCACCGTTGCCAACCTTCTTCCCGTCGGCCCTCCCGTGCGAGGGGCCACTGGCTGAATCCTGGCTGGCCCCACAAGCAACCCACTTGTGGGGTGCAGAACAGGATCTGTGGCTGCTTGGCCAGCTCTCATGTCACAGACAGCCATTCTCAGGTCCCTTACAGGCATCCTACGGGATCCAGTGTCCGCAAGGAGCCAAAGAGTGGATCACAGCGATCTGGCTTGTGGCTTCCTAGAGCAGAAAGCTGGCACCCGTGTGGAGGTCAGCAGACCATCTGTGCATTACTCTGGGCCTGTGTTGAAAGTTTTAAAACGGAATGTAAAAGTACCATATGGTCGCTGTCTGCGCATGTGAGTTTGGCTTCCTTTCAGTAGATCCAGTCACCTGGGGCAAAAGTTGGAGCTTTTACTTGCTTTCGCACTGTCACAGAGGCTACACTTATGTACATGTAGTGTACCAAAAGTACAGACTTCAACAGCTAAACATCTCGTGTGTCTCATGAGACTTTCTGACAATAATTTCAAAGATGTTGAATGGTTCATAAATCGGGTCGTCAAATTTTCTGGATAATTGAAGGGAGAAGGCTGAGGGATGTCAGAGTGTCAGAGGCATCGCTACTGCTAAAAGGATATGCCATAATGCTGTATTTGTCTGTGTGCTTCATTGCAGTGTTTAAAGGACCCCTTGAAACTGTAGTGGGTGTCCTGTGTTAAGCTAATGCTAATAGCTGTAACCTATAGAAAACAGAAGGCCTGATACTACTACTCACCTGCAAGTATTTCCTGTATTCTTTCCAGCTTTAAAGATACTATCTTAAGGTGGAAGAGCAAATATAGTAAGCAGGAGCCCAGACTCACGCACTGAGAAATGGGCAATCTTGTGCTTAACAGTTGTGCATGACGCTGATGTGCTCAGGCAGCGCTTGTAAGTACACAAAAGTGTGCAAATTCTGTGGTCGCAGTTATGCAGCTGGGCCCTTTGCTCTTCAGGTTGTTACTGATTAATAGAAGTAGGTGGAATTTTTTTCTTCAGTGAGCAAACATTCGGCCTACCTACCTATTCATGTGGATGCTTAGGTGAAAGAAAGCCCAAGCAATTTCCTTTGAAGAAAATTGCAGTTTTAAGAGCCAGTGTGTGAAAACAGGCTACATTTAGTAGCTTTTGAATAATTTATTTCAAAATGCTTAGCACCAGTGTCAGCTCACCACTTTACTGCTGGTCAGGTGAAGCCAACCCAGCAGGTTTCCTTTGTGTAAGGTCTCAGGTAAGATGAGATAAGACCTTTGTTCTTCTCTGGAGACACAAATGCAAACTGAGCATCACCAATATTAATTCCTTCTGTATAACAAAGAAGAAATCAATCACACTCCTATTCTCTCATGAGCCATGCCATAGGCAGAGTAAAAGTTACCTTTTTATGCCACATTTGCATGTATTTTGTATAGGCTTTACAATAGCACCAGGAGGAAGCCAAGGGTTGATCCATCTAACTCTCCTCCTGTAAGACAAGCACAGCGCTGCTGAAGAACTGCAGCCACTGCCCAGGACTGACCTGCCTCAGCTACCTGACATGACTTTGCTATTGAGTCCATTTTGGTCAAATGTTAAATACTTGCTGCTTATGTAGTGTGGTTTGGTGTTTGTTTCCTTTAGTTTTTTGTGTTCGGACATTAATATAAAAGTAGAAGGCAGTTTCTTTCTTCTGCTTCTTAAGTCTTGGAGAGCTGATGCCAGTAGGCTCCACTGAACTTGATCTTGTGTTTATAAGGGAACTTGTATTATTCAACAGTCAGTCTTTTTTCTATTAAAAAAGAAAGAAAAGTAATAGGTGGACAGAGGAGGGATGTGTAGCAGGAGCTTTGCCTTTTGAGTAGATATTCTTTCTGTTGCTTCCCTTTAATTGTAGATCACTAGGGATATTTTTAGGCAGTGTTTAACCATCAAATTATAACAGCAGCTTCAGTGTAAACAACCAACTAAATACAGCTATATGCAAAGTATGAAAGAAATACTTTTTTAAAAGATCACATGAAGTTACCCTGACTTAGCAAACCACAAAATAGAAACACTAATCTTAGAGTTTACTTGGGCAAGCGAAGAATTTCGTCTTAAATATTCTGACAAAATCGAGTCCTGTATTTGTAACACATAAGTAATGCTAAAACATATTAAGCCAGGTTAACCCTGGCACAAGGATGCATAAATTTATCTGTCAGTCAACTTGCACCAGCAGCGAATTGGACTTTGAGACACTTAATGGCATAGTTAGGACTCAGTTAC